TGATAATTTTTCAAAAGCAAAATATTTTCGTTTTTTTTTTAAATAATAAAGATATGGAAGATGCACATACACATATTTTATCTTTACCCGAAGATAAAGGTTGTGCATTTTTAGCTGTTTATGATGGTCATGGAGGAGCTAAAGTAGCACAACATTCATGTAAACATTTACATACACGTATTGCTAATCAACCAGAATTTAGTTCGTTGAATTTTGTTCTTTTTCTTTTTGATTAATTAATTTTTCTTTTAAGAACAAGGAAATATTGAAACAGCTATAAGAAAAGGTTATATTGATTTTGATAAAGAAATGGCTTTAGATGAAGAAATGCGAGAAGATTTAGCAGGAACAACAGCTATTTGTGTTGTTATTAAAGATGATAAACTTTATTGTGGTAATGTTGGTGATAGTAGAGCAATTGCTTCAATAAATGGTAATGTTGAAATACTTTCAACTGATCATAAACCAAATAATGAGGATGAAAGAAAACGTATAACAGCTGCCGGTGGTTGGGTAGAATTTAATCGTGTTAATGGTAAAAAAAAAAAATATTTTTATTTTCAATATTTAACTTTTATGAAAGATTTTTGTTTTTTTTTTTTTTTCATCTAGGCAATTTGGCTTTATCTCGAGCACTTGGAGATTTTATATTTAAACGAAATACGGATAAACAACCAGAAGAACAAGTTGTAACTGGTGAAATTTAAAAAAAAAAATAGAACTCAAACATTTATTTATTAAATGAAATTACTTTCATCTTTTAGCGGCTCCTGATGTTGTTGTTAAAACAATAACTCAAGATTGGGAATTTATATTACTTGCTTGTGATGGTATTTGGGATGTACTTAGTAATGAAGAAGTTTTAAAATTTGTTCGAACACGAGTAGCTCAACAAATGCCACCGGAAATGGTATTACAAAATTTCTTTATTTTTATTTTTAACATATTTTTTACTTAAAAAAAAAAGAAAAACTAAATTTTAAATAATAATCTGCCATACTGAGATTTGAAACAGGACAAACACTTTTTGCTCTTGAAAATAAGTTAAGTTACCTATTTTCTAACTGATGCCCATGATTAATGAAAATGATTACATAATCATTATATACTCAAATCTTGCAGATTATATTTGAGATGAGAAATGTTTTATTGTCATTCTTCACTAGTTATGGTTGCAAATGATTTGGTCATTTGTAATACACATGCATAGTCATTCAAATGGTTCTTATCATTTGAAGCGCCATGATTAAATCTTTCTTTTTCACAGATTTTAAATTGATCACCTCGTTATTGATTATTGTATAGATGTTAGTCTGATTTTTTGAACAAACGTGTGATTTTGATCAGAATATGCGGAAGTTGCGAGCAATGATATACGAATAGAAGGCGAAGCAACTTTCGAAGAAGATATATTCGAAAACAATAATGATACAATAGTCTTATGTGTTCATCAGAACACGTTACACTGTATACTTGTTTCAAGTGTAAATATTATTGCTAAAATCATTATCCAATTGAGCTTGTGTATTAGAATTTCGTCTTTACGAAATCTAATCAGTAGCGATGCCTTTCAGATCTGTTATTTTTGAGAGAAAATGAAGAATTTGCAGTACCATTCGTATAGGATAAGTCACTGAATCATGTGTTGTGTCAGATCCTGTTGGATAAGCTGTTCTATTAGAAGCCCTAATTTGAAATAAATCTATATTATTTCAAATAGATTTCGTTAGTATTTTTTTCTTTAGCAAAAAAAAATGTACATGAAAATGATATTCCGTTTCGATGTAATTCTGATTTTGATATATACTTCAGATCTATTGCTCAATGTATAATTCAGCTAGTTATCAATTCTTTTCAATGTTTTCTGATGATGATGAGTTTTAAAATTATTTTCTCTTATATAGTATCAGATCAAAAGATATTCGGGATTCTTCACCTTGTATTTCTGAATGAGAAAAATAAACTGACATTCCAAAAAACCTTGCTTTTGCTCATCACTATTCCGTAGAGAGTAGATGAGAAGTTGAACAACAATGTAGTTATACTAAAATTTCATGGATATTTTCTTTTTTTTGATGAATCTCAGTTTTTTGTAATACTTGAAATTTTTCGAATGGAAGATCCTAGAACACATCATTCGTATTCAAAGATTTTTCTATCGATGAAATCGTTATCTGTTATAAATATAATAAGTTCAAAGTATGAAAACCAAAAAAAATTTCCGCTTGCTAGATTTGTGAAGAACTAATGACACGTTGTTTGGCACCGAATTGTCAAATGGGTGGTCTCGGTTGTGATAATATGACAGTTGTATTATGTCTTTTACTTCATGGTGAACCTTATTCAACATTAGCAGCTAAATGTTCAAAGAATACTTCTAATGGAGATGTATCACCATCGAAATGAAGGTAAAGAAGATCATATGTTGTTTTTCTTTTTTTTTTTTAATACTATATAAATTTTAGTTCCTGCACACAATTGAATACAAAAACAATTTGCGATGATCTTTTTTTTTTTTTGTCTTTTTTCCTTTGATAATATAACTGTGTTCCATCATTGTAGAACAGTATTAACTGCTGTATTTGTGAAGAAATCAAAAAAAAAAAAAAACAAAGCGCGTTTCTTTCTTTTTTCTCTGTTTTTCCTAGAACTTGCGCAGGTATTTATGCTGTAAATTTATTTATATGCAAACAAATATGTGTATGAAGTTATTCTCTATTATGCGACCGATCCTTTTCTTTTTTATCTTTTCATGGGTGATTAGGACTGAAAAAAAGTGTTACCTTTGTATACATTTTCCAACTCTTTTTTTTTTTATTCATTGTATTATAAATAAGTGGATGAGAACACAAACTAAAAAAAAACAGAAGTCCATTCATTTCAAAACAAAAAGAAACATATTAAGATTCGAATGATTTACACTTTCAATTAAATTGGATTAGCTAATGATTGATGAAGCTCTGTTTTTTATCAACAAAAGAAAAAGAACATATTTCGTAAATATGATGATTGAATACAATATAATCCATAGCAGAAATTGGCTTAATTATAAAATATTTCCCATTGGAATTAAAGATACTCATGAATTCGATATTATTTGATAATTATTTATAGAGATCATGAATATTATTGATTATGCTCAAGTTGAAAATGGTGAATGTAGACAAGTCGAACAAGAATATCATGATAAATATAATTTCTTTTGTTTGACCGTGTTTAATCAGATTGTTCTATAATGCGATCATGAAAGCAAATGATAATATGTTCTCATCCGATTTGAACACAAAAATTGAGTTAATAAGACATCACAGTCATTTTCTGATCAAGAAGTTTAATGATGTGCAAGAGTTAAAAGAAGATTATTAATGATCAACGGGAATAAAGTTTATTTATACATCCATTTTAGCTACAGAACAGGTTTGTATAATATTCCATAGTGAACCACAGCATGATCACCTTTAAAAGTATTCTTTGTTGTCTATCTGTGGTTTGCGCGAACCCAAACTGATAGAGTAAGTAAAATATACAATTTCATTACTAGTTTATTATGAATATATGGAGACTTGATTGCAAGAAGAATCAACAAAAGCTCAATGAGTTTGGACGATCTACCAACGACAGAGTACTGACGACCCATATTTGTGATGAATACTTCTATCAGTAGTCGAACACAAAAAACTACAAGCCTTAGCACCATAATTTACTGAGCAAATTTGAATATTTTGTTTTATCAAAATGATCAGCGCAATGAGTTCCATAGACGGAGAAATTCTCTGAGAACTTTGTATGTTTTGCGGCTGACTACGTATAGATCAGTTCGATTATTCATTATGAATGTGTAACATTACAATGAATTTTTCTGGTGATAAGGAGAACCTTAGGTTGTCAATAACCGTTCACATGCACTTCTAGGCGGTCTGTTCACATAAATAATAGTGGTCGTATCATGACTAATAAACATTCCATGATGATTATGCAATCAAGACTACATAGTAAGTAGATTTCTACTAAATATAACAACAGCAAAGTTCATAAAATACTCGAATCGCCGTTCAATTTACAAACTCCAAAAACAGATCTACGAGGCAAATGAAAGAGTCAATCCATTTCATTCCATTAAGAAAGTGTTTTAGGAGATGATTATTGTTGCAAATTATTCTAACATCCTACGTTCAACATATACAATGGCATATCTTCGTGTTCTATATAAAGATAAGGATGCTCATCGATTGTTTTCATACACAGAGATTGTATGCAGTCTCAATTATTCTTCATACTTCTCAATATATGATAGTGATACAGACTTTTATTGAACCGTCAAAATAAGGTTATATACGATACCATATGCCTGCTGACAAATATATATTAATTCTCTCCAGAGACCAGTGTGAACACTTTTATGACATCTAGCGAAAATGCATGGACAAGACTAGTATATGTGAATTACCGTACTAGATTTTATCAATATTTGTACTACCTAGTCGATCGCACCAAATCGGATAAGGATTATTTTAATTACATAGGAATGCGTTTATCTGTGAAATTCTTTACATGTAATGATAAATTTCATCCTAAGTGTCCACCAGTTATAAAAACAGAAGAGAATGTGATAATCTCAGTCCTCTACTTGAAAAATAAACGACATCACGTATAGAGCCAACTCAATGGCTCTAATTATAGGACACCATTTATCTCTCAATGGTTCATTTACAAAACGAATATTAAAAAGTTTAATTTTTTTTTTTGTATCATTATAGCAAATGAAGATTAATTATGAATACTATTATATAATTCAAACCTCTCCGAGACTTTTCTAAGCTCGTTCGGTTGTTGTCTTGTATTGTTTCTTTTTTTTTTTTATTCTTGATGATAGTTTATAAGTATACAAAACAAAAACAAATAACAACAACCAATAAAATATTCTTGTGTGTACGTAATATATAATAAAAACGGATGACAAACAAATAGATCTTATTATTTATTAGTAGTACTATTTATTTTTAATCATCTTTTTTCTCTTGTGTTGTACCACGTATACGACCAGTTCGTCGAGCAGCAATAAGACCAACTTTTCTACCAGGTGGTGCATAACGACTAACTGTTGATGGTTTACCAATGTGTTGATGGTTACCACCACCGAATGGATGGTCAACAGGCTAAATAAATCAAATAAAAAAACATTTTTTTTTTTTCATAACAATCAGACAACAAAAAAAGAAGAACAACTTACATTCATAGCAACACCACGAACTTTAGGCCATGATTTTCGTTTAGCTTTAAATTTATGATACGAACGACCAGCTTTCAAAATTGGTTTATCAATACGACCACCACCGGCAACAATACCTAAATAAACAAAAAAATAAGAAATTATGTTTGTTTGTTTGTTTAAATCAAATATGTATGCAATCAGTAAAAGCCTCTAGATATATTTTTAATAATCATTCCGAATGTCAGAAATAATAATATCATTCATCATTTTGCATACATTTAAATATTATTCAAAAAAAAAAAAAAAGAAACGATATACTTACCAACCATGGCACGATTTGTTGATGATAAAGTTTTTTTTGCACCTGATGGTAATTTAACTTTTGTTTTACCACCTTCTGGATTATGTGAAACAATTGTTGCATAATTACCTAGATGAATTATTTCAAAATTAAACGTTTAAATTAATCTTCAAAAGGAAAAATTACCCGATGCTTTAGCTAATTTTCCACGATCACCAGTTTTTTGTTCAATTTGACAAATAATTGTACCTTCAGGCATTTGTCCTAATGGCATAACATTGCCAATTGTTAAAGCAGCTGAAGAAAAAAAAAATTTTTTGTAAAAAAATGTTTTCTTTTTTTTTTTTTTTTTACCTTTTTTTCCACAATAAATAAATTGACCGGTATACATGCCTTCGGCAGCAACTAATAATTCTTTTCGTTTTTTATAACGATATGGATCACGGAAGTGTACAACAGCAAGTGGAGCACCACGACCCGGATCATGAATAATATCCTATTTGAAATAAATTAATATATATAAGATAAAATTTTTTTTTCTTCATACTTTAATAACACCACGTAAATAACCCTGTCGTTCTGCATAATCTAAAGATCTTAATTTAGCTGGACCTTTTCGATGGAAAGTACGAGCGCGAAATATGGCCGAACCACCTTTACGCTGTGCTCGAATTACTCGACCCATATTATCTAAAAAGAAAAGTTAAGAAATTTACTATAAGTAAACGATTGTGTTTCTACAAAAAAATAAATAAAATAAATAAAATGGATAGATGGACTGTCGCCATCGATTGTTGTTATTTTTATGCCTCCATATACAAATGAAAGTAAAATTTTTGTATATAAAAATCTATCCGAAAACATTTAAATGAATTATTTTATTAGAATATTAAATTAAAAAAGATAATTATTTTTATTCAACAAAACTGACAATGAGCGCCATCATTATGTGATACAAAAAAATGCACCAATCAAATAATGCTTATCTGTCACTGACATTCTGTTTTGTCTTTTAGTCATACAAGATAAGAAACACTACACTAACCACTTTGGTCATTCCTTATTACACTTGCATTTTTTTATTTTGTGATGATTACAAACTCTAAATGATGTGCGTAATCAAATAACTGATGCTAACTGGTGACAAATCATCTTTTTATGTTGCATAGAAATGTCTGGTAGCCGGTAGGAATAAGTGCGATTGTTATGAGAAGATATTAAATCTTCTCTGTTAGTTTCTTTTATTTTTTATCAAGAATTAGATAAGACATTTTTATATTTAAGAATTTGATAAAAGTCTTCTAATTATTTCGATTCTATTCTCAAGAATCGGACTATTTTTTGGTTCATTCTGTTATCACGATTTGGAACAAAGAAATTCGTTTAAAGATTATCTAACTCCATTGCTTGATTTCAAGAACGAAATAGTTTTCATTGAATCGAACACAGGACTGGGACTAAAAAATGCACTTTTGCAATTGCCTAGTCTCGTATCGAGTATATAATTAAATACGTCACAGATTTCAGTACTTAAATGAAACAATATTATAAATATATATGCTAAAGTCTTGAATATCATCGAATGAAAGTTTCTGAACGTACAACATTTAAAAGAATTTTTGTAATTAGTGAACTCTAGTTTTGAGTTACTGTATTCTATCCATTATTTCAGATTAGTTTAATTAATATATAAAATGCTTCAATCACGTGGTATTTCTGATTTACTTGCTGCTGAAAAAAAAGCTCAAGAACTTATTGAAGAAGCTCGAAAACGTAAAAATAAACGTATAAAAGATGCTCAAAATCAAGCTAAATCTGAAATAGAAGAATTTAAAGGTGAACGTGATCAACGTTATAAAAGTTTAGAACAACAAGTAAATTAAATTTTCAATATTTTTCTCATTTTTCGTTTTTTTATTTTCATAGCAATTGGGTAATCGAGCACAAATGACTGAAGAATCAAATAAACAAACTCAAATACATATAGCATCATTAAAAACTCAATATGAAACAAATAAAGATGCTTTACTTGAACGTATAATAACACTTGTCTGTGATATTAAACCTGAATCACATATCAATGCTCGTATTGAATGAAAATTTTGTTTCTTCCATATATTTTTTTTTTTTAAAACAATAGTGATTTCAACATTTATTTCTTTCATATTCTGCTAAAATATATATCTTTTTATTAAATGCTTGAATAAAAAAAAAAATTTACAATTTGTTTTTTTTTTTATCTGATTAAATCAATAATAAATGTTTCATTACATACACCATTTTTTCCAAGACCACCATGTACAATTAATTGATTATCTAAACAAATCATTGTATGACCTTGTCGACCAAATTCAATTTGACCTAAATTATACCATTGTTCATAAGTTCCAAGTGTAACAAGAAAAATTTCATTTGATGGTTCACGTAATTTTCCATCAAATGTTTCACCACCATAGATAATTGCTAAATCAGAACCACATGCAATACTTGTATGATCTTTTCGAGTTGATGGTAATTTGTTCATTGGTTTTATTATATTTGATTTTATCATTTGTTTGAGATCTAAATAAAGATTATTACATATAAGTTGATTTTCAACTGGTAAACCAGTATAATGTTGAATTAAATGATCAGCACGACCACCTATTATATATAATGATGAACCATGACCAATTAATGAATGACCACTACGAGAATCAACAGAAATTGGAAATTGTTCCCATCTAAAATTTAAGAATATATAGTTTGTTTTTTTTTTTGTACACTCAATGTATCAATTTCCGAAATCAGCAAACCTAAGATTTTAATACTCATATATATATAGATAAAACTCAGTTTGATATTTTCTGATTGTGAATCTTGATAAAAGATCGATTAGTATTCAATGAACATTTTCGACTCATCAAACGAAAGATTTTTTTTTATTCATGTTGAGCATCACTATTAGCAAACGGTTTGAAAGAAAGAATATTGAGTGCCTCATCTACTCGATGATCTTAGAATTATTTTACCGAAAAATACGTTTTTCTGGATCTCCACGTAAACAATATGCATCACCATGTTTTCGTTGTGTTCTTAAACTACCATCTCTACCAATTACAAGAATAGCTGTATCATGCGATTTCAATGGAATAACAGCATGATTATTAAGACCACCATCACTCGGAAATCCAGATGCATGTGTTTGATGCCATGTTGTATTAACAACATCAAATACATATATATCAGATTTTCTTTTTGATCCATCCCATCCACCAATAGTAACAATATATTGACCATTACCCATCACAATACATCGATGATGTGAAAGTGTCGGAGAATCATTTGTTGTTATTTCTGTCCATGTATTATGTTGAAATTTAAACATTCGATTTGATGGTGAATGATCACCACGTGTTTTAACTCCACCATGAATATAAAAAATATCACCAATAACACAACTACCAAAAAAAGCTACACATGGACCTTGAGCAATTACTGTTGCTTGTACATGACATATAGTAGAATTATCTATGGATAAACGCCGAGAATTAACGTTTGTACTATTAGAAACACCATTATCGATAGAACTAGTTCGACGATTTGTTGTATTTATATTTTTAGTAAATCCAAGGTCATGTGAGGCTCGACGATTGGAAGAAGCCATTTGATTGGAAAAATGAATGAGAAAATAAGTGGGCATTCTACTTCAAATCACTTAGTTACAAGCTTCTCTTTCTTATTTTTAGGCGATAGATGGTGCTATCAGATATGGTAAAAGTTGTTGTACGTATATGATCTTAATGAAATTATTATGTATGTCATATTTACTCAAGAAACTCTAAATTTTTTTTTGATTCTAAAGACATATGATTTGATACAGATTTATTCATCAACCTTCTTATATGACTGGTTTTTAAGAAGAATACAAATTAAATTCTGATCGCTAAATATCACTGTGAGATAATAATTATAATTTTGATATAGGTAAATAAAGAGCAGAACATTGATCGTATCTATTCTAAAATTGAACGTATTTCAAAGAACAGATGATTAATATATATAATCAATTATTAGTAGAATGACCAATAGAAAATGTATGTGAATTCTGTTCTTTTTGCTTAAGTTCTTACTCAAAATTCGATGTCAGGCTAGGAACATTCGAATGGCATAAAATTTTCAGGATATGTTATGGTTGATGTGCAAGGTAACATTTTTAGCTCTATACCACGACGTTTGACGGAGACATAGGCCAAACAAGGGTCAAAAAATAGCTAATTTCGTCTCCAAAATTTATCTATTGTCTTCAGTCTATGCATTTTATGTTTTTTTTTGTTTGAAAAAAAGAGATCGAAAGTTCAATAGCTCAAAAAACCTCTCCGAAAATTGCGCTCTAATTATATAAAGGTTTATATATATATAAAAAGCAAAGCTTAATAATAAAAAAAAAAGTGACTCTCATAGGTACTGCAGTTTTACACGTTCTTTCAAACAAAAAAAAAGCCTATTGGCTACAATCAAGCTCCTTCGAAAAATCTTGAAGATGCGATCGACAACCTATCAAAACGAGAAAAATCGAAAAAAATTTTCGATTTTTTTTTCTTCAAAAACAGATTGTTTTTCGAACAGGAGATGACAGAAATCTTTAAAAAGTTTTTGAAAAAAAAGGACGTATTGAGTAAAAATTATTCAATTGACATTCTACAGTAATACCAACAACCCACATATTGAAAATTCAAGATACTTGATGATGACAAATTTGCAAAATTTCATTTGATTTTCAATGTCTTAACAATAGATACATCTTTCTAATGTTCATGAGTAGTATAGATCTTTGATAATTGTAAAATTTGTTATATATATATATGACTTTCTTTGAATGAAAGCACATTTATAGATAATAAAGTACAGACAGACAAACCAACAAAAAAAAAGAAAAATAACAACAACAAACAACATTGACTAAAAATACTTTTTTTTTTTTTTCTTTCTTTCTTTTCATTTGATTTCATCAAAAAGCAGTAGTTCCATTCCATCCATTAAGAAAATACTGTTGACTATCGACAATAACTGATGTATGATGATATGGATGTTCGGTTTGAAAATTTGTTGATACATAACAATTATTTGTTGATGATGAATATAAATCAAGTTTATCGGACGGAAGATTTGTTTCATAATCAATTAAAGATAAATGATGATGATGATGATGATGTTCATTATCAAGACGAATACGTTTATTATTAATATCATATGATGATATACGTTTTTGATCATAATACATTGATTCATCAATATTATTAAATGAATTTGAATAATTATTAGTACCTGTTGTATAAAGAGATAAATTAGAATAATTTGTTTGTGTATTAGAAGAATAATAATGTTCATCTGTATTATAACATATTGTTGATGGATAATCATCAATTATTGTTTGATGTAAATCAGTTTGTATTGGTGATATTTTACGTTGTTTTATTAAACGATTTGTTTTAAGTATTTTTGTAGAACTACGATTTGATGATGATGATGATGATGATGTTGTTGTTAATGTAGAATTTAAACTTGTATTTGTTGATGAACATTTTTCATTATCAATTGAATTAATTATTAATGTTTGATTTGAACGAATAAAATCTGATGAAGAATTTTCAAGTTGATCAATTGATAATTGTAAATGTTTAGCTTCAACATCACTAAAAAAACAAACAAATTTTTAATTTAATTAAGAAAAATAAATCAAAATTTATATACCTTAATGCATAATTTACACTAACAATAACTTCAGGTCGAGATGATCGATTATTATGAACAAGTGTTGCATAACTTTGCACTAATATTAATAATAAAAAACAGTTCAATAAATGAATTAAAACAAATAACTTACTCCATATCCAACCACCATTTTTAGCAAGAAAACGATAATAACGAGTTGTCACTTGTCCTTTTGAAAGTACTAAATATAAAAGTTAATATTTTTGAATTTTTAAAAAATTTCAGACATTGATTAATATTTTCTTCTCAATACAACAAACAAAAAAAAATGTCTTTAATATATTCAGTTTACGTATAGAGTAAACTATGTCCAGTGTTTTATCCAGGATTTTTTCTCCTGAGGGGCGATTTGGAATTTCGGGGGGAGCGAAAAATTATTTTCGGGAGAGCAAGCCACGTGTTTTTAGTACGATGATCGCAAGTTTCGGGGGGGGGGCGAACTCGATTTTCGGGTGGGCGCGGCCCCCCCGGGCACCCGTCTGGATAAAACACTGACTATGTCATAAGATTCCATTGAGTTAAATCTCAACATGTTCTAACTATCGCTTATGAAATGCCTACATTTATTCGTTCATAGACTCAAGAGAGTTAAATGATCATTATACTTACAAATTTGATGAGCCCATCTTAATGCCATTAAATCTTGTGTATGTACATAATGATATAAACTTCTATCAACTAAATCTTGTGGTTCATATCCTGTTATTTGTGATACTCTAAAATAAAAATATATTTTAATTATCTTTTTTTTGTTTTTATATTTTATTACCTTGAATCAAGAAATAATAATTTTAAATCTTGTCCAGCACGAAACATAAACATATTTGAATAAAGACGTATTTCAGTTATTGAACAACTTGGTAATGAATAACCAAATGCAAGAAGACCAATATTTTGATAACAATTTTCTGTATTATTTGTTGAATTATAACATGATAATGTATCAAAATTAAATTGTTTTATTTTAAGATAACCTGAACAATGTATTACTTTAAAACCACTTGCTGTTAAACCAGCATTACGTTTAGCCAAAACACATTTCATACGTATAAAAAAAGATCGATCTATTTCATATTCACTATTATTTGTACAATATGTTGGTAATGGTATTGTTAATACATTGGCCATTTCTTCATGATCAATTGGATGAATATATTCATATATAGAATTTCCTGTTAATTCAACTTGTGATAAACCTAAATGTGTTGATGCTGTTTCACTTATATACATTATTTTACCATCAGGACCAAGAACAAATAAAAATCCATCTAATATCTAAGTATAAAAAAAAAAAATTTTACACTTAGAAGAAAACAAAAAATGAATTTTATTTTTTTTAAACCTGTGTTAATTGTGAATTAACTTCACGTTCAATTGTTGTTTGTGATAAAGATCTTGAACCCCATACACCGCCAAGACCTATTCATATATATATATATCGATTTCCATTTTTAATCATGTAAATAGCGGTAACGAAAAAGCTCATCATCTATGTGTGAATTCTCTTCTTTTTTTTTTTTTCTACTCCTGATGCGTTACCGGGAAAAAACATCCGGATTCATTTTCAAACTGATCTGATCAAAGTAAAGAGAAGAAAAAGCTATTGGAACTAATATAATTTCGTTTTTTTTTTTTAATATATAAAGTTGTCATGCTCAGCAAACAAACCCTTGCCATTCTAATTGTTCCTCTTTCTCTCTATCAAATTACACGAGAGAGGAAAGAATTCTTTTAATTTAATTAAAATGAATACACCTCTTCTGTCGCTTATCTAATCATATCTATTCAATGAATTTCAAATAAAAATTATATTATTTTTCACGTATGATATTATTAAAAATATAAACATTTTTGAAAAACAATGGTTTATTAAATATAACTCATATATATATATATATACAGACAGTTTTGATGTTCGCTTGTGTTTAATAGAATAGAATTCAGGATGTAAATATAAACAAAACAAAAACTTCAAACAAGTGAAATGCAATTATTCATTACATATGTCTTAAACAAATTCTATGAAAATACTAGAATGGAAAATTTATCTTATTTCAATAAAAAAAACTTTTGGTAATGATTTCTGCTTATCTTAGAACTTACATACAGGCGTACGAATGTATCCAGCAGCGAGTTAGAGAAGAATTTTGAACTCTATCTATGTAATCAAGAAGATAGGTTATTAGTTATGGTTGAGAAAAAAAAACAAAAATGATCTATAACAATATTTGATGAATGAATATGTTAAAATTGTCGATATTGTGTCAATGACATCATCTTAGCGGGTAGGAATATGGAAAGTTGTTCTAGATCATTAGATTACCTTCGGGTATAATAGCACGCATTTTAAGATAACTTGTTGTAAGACGAATAACTGATGCTTTATCCAATTGATCAGTAATTGCATGTGGTAATGGTAAAAGTTTAGCTAATTCAAAAAATTCAGCATTTTCTTTTTCACGTCGACTTCTTGCTGCATTCTTCGATTTTTCTTTCATGGCTTCACTTCTATTTAATAAAAAAAAAATAAAATGATGAGCATATAACAAAAAAAAATAGTGAGAACAAGAATAATTAATCACAAATCACTAACACTAATCTGTGAAAAAGAATTGAAAATTAGAAAAAAAAAAGGTGTCACGATAAGTTAACGAACAATCATCTATCTATTGTTTTCACAAACTACAGGAGGTGTCTTTTTTTCATTCGATTCTACATTTTCAATAGACTCATACTTTTACCTGTTACATAGTAGATATAGACGTGCCGATTATTATAAAAATGAATGAATTTATCTCGAATATAACGAGACTGAGACATGAGGAAATAAATTAGCATTGTTAACTATAAATTTTCAGATACTACTCGAATGCATCCATCTCATTTGACACGCGCATATATGCACATCATTTTCTATATATTATTTCAAAGAGACAAACAAATTTTTTCTTTTTTTTTCTACTACTACTACTTATTAATTGGCTCAATTCTATAAAGAAATTCAATGTTTGTTACATAGAAGAAAAAAAATAAATTTACTTACAAGAAAAAAAAAAAACGAAACTTATCTTCAAGATTGATTAATAAATAAATCAACAACAACAACGGTTTATTAATCCGTTGCTGCTGCTATGCATATGAGATGTCTGTCGTTTTCTTTTTTTCTTCTTTCTACTGAGAAGATTTGTTTTATTTATGTCCGTTATACTTGCATTCCTATTCGTTGATGTGATCAATACTTGTTCTTTCTTTTTCCTTTCTCTCTCTCTCTCTCCCTTTCATATCTATGAATTGTATTATACATCGACTTACTGTTATACGATCAGGGTGCGAGGTATTCTTTTTTTTTTTTTTTTGATAAAAGTTTCTATACTTGAATATTAAAAATTTATGTAAGTGATGACTTATAAGAACTTGTCAATGTAATCAACAAATATTTTCATTTCACTAAGAGAAATTCTTCTTTCTTTTTTACATAAAAATTATTTATGAAATTAACAAAATGTCCGTAAAGGATATATTTAATTCTGAACATAACAAAATAATTCAAGAAATTCTATACAAAATAAAAAAAAACAAAGTAATATTTGAAATGGCAAATTGACGTATGCTTCTCATATAATTGACCTTATAAATCTAATATCTTTATCACTTGAGCATGTCTAAACTTCGATAAGTTCTATATAAAGATGAATAGCTTATTTGCCTGCTATATCAATATTTTATATTATTTTCATATAGCAGTAGTATCTCTATTACTATTTCTTTTTTTTTTTTTGGATTGATTGATTTGTTCAATAGATAATAATAACAAGAAAAAAAAAAACAAAACAATGTTAACTTTTCTAACATCAATCGAATGTATACCGACAATAATGAATAAAGAAAGGAATTAAGGATGAGATTAACAAGATGAACCAACAACAGGTTGAAGCATACACAAAAAAAAAAAAGAAGAATAAGCGGTAGTTCAATCTCTCAACAAACGAATATAATATTCTTTTTTTGTATCAAAATACTAATTGAATTACTTGAAAAAAATTTTTTTTTTTTTAATTGTGTCTTTGTTTTTTTTTTTTCTTCATATTCTTCTTGTGCACAAAAGCAAAAGGTATTTTGCATATATTGTTAAATCTTGTTTTTTTGACATTAACACATCAGAGAATGTTTGTCAATTGAAAAACAGAGAGAGAGAGAGCTACCTGAATATATACGACGACGAAAAGTAAATATAGACTTTCAATGAAAAGAGACATTGATCAATCGATTTTAGTCATAGATTAAGAAAAAGTCAACATAATTATTACAAGCAATAATATGAATGAAACGCGTGTCGAACAAAATATCCGTATTCTTTAACAATACAAAATTTTATAGGCTTCAAATTTGCATAGTACAAACTCATTTGAAAATATTTCGTCTAAGAGAAAATAAAAGTGATAATTAAAAATTTTATCTTTTTATATTTGAGAAATTATTATCAAAAGCAAAGTTCTTTTTCTTTTCGTAAACAGAATTTAGTAAAAGAATACTTGTTCTATTAAAAGTGTATATGATTTTTTTTCTTTCCGTTAAAATCTGATATTATTTCTTCCCAAGAGGGCGCTCATAGTTTGACAATCATCATGCATATATATCCTGAAGAGGGACCCATCTATCGATATATGGATCATTGCAGACAAAATGGGATATATACACTTTTCAATTGACTTTGATTCTTAACAAAGAGTTTTTTAAAACTAAGATGAATGAAGTACCCTAGTCGAACTTTTTGTGGCATGCATATGAACATCTTGAGGCAAGACTTGAGACCTTCCGGTGAGCTCAAGTTCTTGAACTTCTTGTTCTATCGCTTGCCATTCTTGCTCATGCCTTTGAAATTTTATCTAAGCATTTCTGTTACTAAAGAACTTTTTCAATTTTACGTTCAAAATAACTCAACTTTTAATAAAAATCTATAGTTGCATTTTTTTCTAACTCATCCAAACACTCAAGCGCTTGTCTTGAGCAAGAAAGTCATGCGCTATGGACACATCTTGAGCCAGGGTTGGAACCGGTCCGGCAAACCGGTACCGGGCCGGTAAAGACCGGAATTTCATCAGTTGAAATTTTTCAAAAATCTTCTTTGTTAATCCTGTCTTTGACCATAAAAACTAAGGTATCACATGTTTTTTCTGTCAGAATAGGTAAAAAAGTGCTCAAAACATATGTTATATTAATCGTTTTTCCTGAGGTTCTCTTTAAAAAGATTCATTATGATGAGCGTCTTTTACATGCGCCTTAAACTATTTCATATTTGGAGCGATTTTTTCTAAAAATCGGTTTTCAAAAAAAAAAATTCGACATTTTTCCACCGGTTTTTAACCGGTTTTCACCGGAATTTCACCGGTTGGACATGTGATTCCAGCCGGCCGGACCGGACCGGTAGGATTTTTCAACCGGCCGGACCGGACCGTTTTAATATTTCTCAACCGGTTCCACCCCTGTCTTGAGCTCAAGTCTTGGCAAGCGCTTGAATAAAAAAGTTCGACTAGGGTAAGATACTTAGAGTAACTCAGCATATGTGTAATATATAAAATTTAGTTCTAGAAAAGTTCATTATATCGAGATATACATGTTTTAATTTTGCGAGTTCATATTACTATTAAATGAATTTGAATATATATATGACAAACATACTCTTATATGATGCTAAAGAAAAGTTAAAGAAATATTTTCTTGTTCATTGATAATTAAAATCTTGTGGGACAGTGTCATGTTTCGAAAAAATTCCAATTTGTCCTATAGAACTCAACTGATTTTGTTCATATTTGAAATGAATATAAGTGGCTAGAATCCAACAACTGATTATCATCAATAAGATACAAAAAATAATGACGTGATTTTTTTTAAAAATTGATTGTTGACAAAAATAATAGTTTAAAAAAACTCACACAAACTTTATACTTTCCTCAAATATTTAACTGATGAAAATATATCTGTTAGTCTCTCACGAGGGAATCATTCGAGGTGAATACCTCAATTATCAAATAGGGTTTGTTGCAATTCAACAACTTCATCTAATGCTCTATTGACAATAAAAGATTTACAATTGAAAAAAAAAAAGAAAAAAAAAACCAACTCATATTTTATCATGTAGCTTAGTGTCTGTAGAAAAAATCAAAATAACAACAAAACAATCATATTATTCAAAAGTCACGTTCTGTATTTAGTCTTACTTCTTAGAATGTGGTTAAAAGATCAGTCATTATTAAACGATTAAATCATTAGACTATATTGAACTTCGATCAAAATATATTTAAATATTATTTGCAAATAGAACTGAAGACTAGTTTTCAATAAAACAAAACTTTTATATTAAATATAAACTCATTTTTAAAGTTTGTCTACATTTCAAAATTTAATCAAATAAAAATCTGATAAATAGAAGAATGACACTTATCTTACACTAAAACTTTCTAGTTGAATGTTACACATGTAACAATTTTCTTTCTAAGAGAATACTTGAAAAATCTTCCTGATTGAACGATGTCACATTCTGACACCTTCCGGTCGAGTCTTCTGTGCTGAAACTTTTTTATAAGTTCATCAATGACAAGATTTAGAGAAGGAATCGATCTGTAACTTGATTTGAAAGCATATTTTGCGGTTATAATCATCTCTATTCATCAAAATCTACTAAAAACTTTAGTCTCTTACAAATTTATCAATAGTATACCTGTCAAAATCATTGGTAATCATATTTGTATCATCATTGGTATGCATTTGATGACTAAATGTTTGATTTTGCATCATATTATCGTTGTTTATATCAATCATTGGTTTTTCGTGCTTCTATATATAAATAGTAGATAACAAGTTTTTTGTATATAACACACGATCACCTTATGATCATATTCAAGTAAACAATCGTTGTCTTCGTTCACTGATTGTTCGTTTGACTAGTTTGTCAAAATAGTTTTTGTTAACGAATCACGTTCGACAAAGTTTAACGTCCGTTTCACTTTTGTCGTTTAATTTTTGTTTTATCGCCGAGGGGGAAGAGAACAAAAATGAAGAAAAAAAAAAAAAACAATCAATCTCTGGTACGTCGTTCGCTTTTTTTTCTCTCTCTCTCTATTCTTAGGATATAGAAGTAAAGAGACTAATGACAATATTTAATCTTTTGTGAGTGGGAGGAGCACACGCACATATACATAAACGATGAACGTTAAAAGAAAAAGAAAACAGAACATTAAATTTTCTACCAATCATATGAAAGATAATTATGAACAAAATAACCAATCATAAAAGTTTTCTTCATTGTTTTTAATGAAAATAAAAACAAAATAATCATTTACGTTCTCTCATGAAAGATTTTATTCTGTCTGTAGTTCACTACTTAGTAATACCAAGTAAATATGACACCAGGTTAGTACTATTACTATTATCATCATTTTATGTTCATTCTTCTTTTGTTGATTGAACATGACAAATTCTTAATGTATTTTGCTTACCTACGAAATAGAGAGAGAGCGAGAATTATATTTTTTTTTCTTTTCTTCTTTAGATATTGAATGTGAAATGGGAAACTGTTTGCTAATCATTTACGAATGGCATCAACAGTATGATTTCTGCTATGCTACGATATGTTACACAAACAGGAAGCAGAAATTTAAACATCCGTTTGTTTAAAATAAAACAACATATTTCAGGAAAGCTAATATGAATAACACTTCTTCACACATACATAATAGCAGTTGTAATTATCAATAAAATGATATTGAATTAACATAGAAGATTTTCTTTTTTTGTTATGTTATTCATATTGTTTAGTATAAATTCTGATATAAGTCTATTATAGTTTATTATTGTATAAAACTGGATTTTTTATGTTTAATATTATATGTGTTTTATTGAGAAATAATATTGAAAATTGTCTAAGACGATGTTACAAAAAAAGATGTTTTGTGAGTTTAATTAAATATTTAGGTTATTCAAGACATTATAATTGTGATGTCAGATTTTTAGACTTAAAAATATATCTTCTAAAAAATAAAAACTAAAAATAGTATAATCGATTAGAATGAATAGAAATAGGTTTTATTTTGTTTAAATTATTTATTTTATTTCACGAGTTCATTTTAACGATTAAATTAAATAAAAATATTTTTTCAGTGTCTTTTAAGCACATATCTTTGTTTTCATTTAGTTTTGTAATTTTTATAAAAAAAAAATATCTATGTGCGAATAAAAATAAAAGACTCTCTTAAGGAAATGAGATGAAAGAAACCAAAAATAGAAAAGATACCAAGTATGCTACGTTGTGGCAAATCTGGAAAAATCATGCATAAATGGTAAAGGATGTTCCATAGTAATACTTTTTCTTGACATAGTTTTATTTCTGCATCAAGTTTTCTAAAAAAAATTTTTTTTTCGAGTAAGAAAAATCTGAACGTGTTGTTGTTTTTTATATTATACGAAGAAATTTTTCAAGAAATGCTGAATGACATACACCATTGGATGAAAAATCTAATGCTCTACAGCATGGCCTATTTATTTTTTTTACTGTTGTCACTTAGGACAACTTATACAACTTTCAACTTGCTGTTAGTTTTTAGCACGTTAAGTATTCTTATCTAAGCAAAAATAGTTTCGAGAATTTTTTTTTATCGCTTAAAAGCCCGTTCAATGTTCTATAAAATTGGCTTTGGAAGCATTTCATCTAGAGAAATTCTTTCGCAAGAAATCTAAGTTTTATTAGAGGCTTTAGAGAGAAATAGGTCTTTTTATATAGAACGTGAGAAGCTGTGTAGAATGGCGTTTGAAAGAATTTTCTAGCTTCGAAACTTTTCAAGATAATTCAAAAAAGTGTATCAAAAACGTAGCAGCATTACGTTTGCACAAGTTGATATACTTGAAAGAGGTTTCTTCTTGATCTTTGAATTTGCTATGAATAAAAAAAATCTTCTGCGTTATTATTCTATAAACACAAGAATAACTTGATCGTTCTGGAATACCAAATAAATCGTTTAGTAAAACACAAATGAAATTATGATGCAAATATTTTAACGATGATTTCAAAATTTTGCAAAGAATTTTTCAACTAGTACATCTCTATGTGCTTCAATATCTTTTACATATTCAATAACCACTCGAGTTATAAATTCGATTGAACTAACTCTAAGATAAGGTGGAATTCGATTAGTAAAAATTTTATTCTTAGAAATTCAAATGCCTGAATACAAAAAAAGGAAGACAAAATTATTTTTATATAGATTCAATTTTTCTCTCAATGAAATATCAATCAACCTTGTGTCGAATGTTCACTAACAAGTTTATGAGTAGAAATAAAAATAGCCTCTTTATAGGTGACTTCTAATGGATTTATATCAATAAATAATCCAACCATCATATTGATGAGCAAGTTTTGAAATATGATCAACATCAGTTCGGATCCCAGTTACATTACTGGTAGCATTATATGTGCAAATAATATGTTTTTTAACTTCATCATTATAATATTTCAATTGATTTTTTTAATGAAATTTTCATCTATAAGACCTAGCTTATTATTAGGAATACATATAATCTGAAGATAATTACCATGATTTTATTAAGAAAAAGATTATAGAAGAAATTTACTAATTAAAATAATAGTTTTATTTTCAATTTCTTCACCTTTCCGATGTAAAACATCGACAAGTTTATTAATAACATCTATTGATTCTATAAAATTCTCGATTATTTCTTTTAATGTTTAACTGAAATATAAATATTCATTTACCTGATTCAGTTTGGTTTCATTCACAGAGCGTTTAATTTTTTTTCATGATCCTTCACTAAATTTCGCAATTTTTGATGTACATGCATTAGTTTCACAATGTGTACTAGTATAACTAGAAAACAATTTTATTTTTTATGTATTTTTTTTAGAAATTATTGTATTACTGATGACCTATTTTTTAAAGTGAAACATAAGTCAATGGACCCGATAAGACAATGATCCTTTTTAATTGGATCAGCATTAACAAACGACAGGTTCATGTCAGCGATGAGAAATTCCAATTTTAAATGTTTTCAAACTCAATTTTAGCTCTGATTATATAAAATGCTATACTCTCCAATTTTATTTAAGAAGAATAAATTCTTTTGCAAACGATTTGATCGTTCTTGATGCTTCTCATGTTTACTTGACAAGTGGTCAATATCAATAAGGGTTGTAACAAAACTGAATTTCTTCATTTCTAAAGAGAATTAGATTAGAAAAAATTGTAATTAACTATGATCAAATTGATTGATCTCGGGAAAGATAGGAGATGTTGTATTAACATTTGATCTAAGTAATTGATTCACTTGGTCATCAAAAGACTCTTTATTCCATGTAGATGTAATTTGATTGAAATTCTTCGCTGTTTCAGGATGACTTAATGAATTCAATAAATGATTCTGTAAACAAACGAATAATTTTGAACGCAATTTATTTATTTATTGCGTACTGGTGTTTGTTGTTGGCGGTTTTCAGAAAATATTTCTTGTTCTGTCCGATGTCCATCCAATAGTTTATATCGGAATTCTATTTCTCTTGAATTCGTTTGAAGTAAAGTAGATGTATTTGATTCATCATTAACATTTCTTCTGAATCGATCAAAAGAAAAACTTATTTAATAAAAATAGAGAAAAAAATTTACCAGGTTTCGTCGAAAACGCTTCGACAGCTAACTGATGAAAATAAAAAAGAAATAAAATTATTAAATGTTGAAATTTTATTCGATTTCTTCATGTAAATGTAGAACTCTCATACATTGACATTCTATTCGTACATACTCAAGAAATCAATCAATCATATATTGTCGATGTTTTTATTTAGTCATTGACTATAAATTAGACAGATAAGGATGAAATTTAGTAGTTGAAGTAAAACTTTACAAGATTGTGGACGTGGTGTGAGCTGTAACGTCGAGTTTTGGTGTAACTTACGGTAATCGTTTCATGTAGTCCCATAATCACATCCACAGCAACACACAGATTCAAATCCTTACACTTCGTTTTTTGACTAACTGAATATATGTATTAATATGTCACCAGTTTTCATAAGTAAGAAATTGATTAGAAATGTACCGTGACTGTTCTGCTGTATATTCAAGACAAATTAACAATCATTCATAGGTGAGACAGTTGTATAAGCACACATGTTTAATTCTTTATCAATGTCTCTTTTTTACTTGAAGTTTGAAACAAAACTATTTAATATAGTTGTCAAAACATTAAACCCTCTTCAGAAAATCTCATCTCATGGTTGGAATGTCTCCTTTGAGAATCACAAATTGTTAACCATCAATTTTAAATACGTTTCTCAAGTTGTTATTGTACTTCGAAACACTGTTTGTTAGTGTTTTCATTCTTGTGCTTGTAGAAATGATAGGTTTGGATAGTGATCATGAGAGTAGTCATAGAATGGAAAACGAATAATTAAGAGTGGACTTCTGCAGAGATTGACAAACATCATCCGTTTGTCTATCTTGTTGAGAATGTTTTCTCGCTTTCATTATATCAGTAGAAGTTCGATTCGATATGAAACCATTGGCAAGGGTTCTCATGTACAAATAAAGCGACTTCAATGTGTTTCACATTTCAGTCCTGTAGAGATTGCAGTGAAAGTTTTTTATTTTGTAAAAAACAGCAAAACAAATATAGATCAAAACGAACGCTGTGGCATTTAGTTTGACTTCATTGTTTATAGTCAATTTTTTATGAATGTAGTCGTTCCTTTTTTTTCTCGTATACAATACTCACAATGAGATATTGACTACTTTGACTATTTTGAAATGCACACCAGGAATATCACTGACGGCACAACTTTTACCACCCATATCGGCAATCAGAACTTTGTCGTTGTTCTATGACTAACAAGAGAGATATTAGTTTGTACGCGAAGAGTATATCATACACATCGATAAAATTTAGGCAATCGTCTCATGGCACACAAGTGGTAATTTTCTTGTCACTTTTGATTCATTGAACTCGAAAGCATTTACGCAAAGCAGAATTAGGCTGTTTAGTTTTGACATCAATGAAACGTCACAGGTCAGTTGTCTCTTCGGTTAGCACAGGTATAAACAAACACGCATTCTCTCGAGCACAATACCCTTGGCATGCGAAGTACCATCCAACGGATTATTCTTCCAGCGTGAGCACAAGTAAGATTTGTAGTCTTTATCATGCCAACGTTGTTCGCGATGATGATCATTCAATTTTGCAAGCCGTACGAAGACCGCACGGTTTGTATGAAAATAGCTAGTCATAATCACATGATGCGAAAACCAAAATCGCTCAGTTTACGCATTGTGTTGCGATGTAGACAAGATATCCGTTGCTATCTGAAAAAAAATCTACGATAACTAATGTGAACAGCAATGCATGAACAACTTTCGAAACCATTCTAAAGAAAAAAATTTCATTGCAATCAACAATAATCGATAGGAACCAAGCAATGATGAACCACCAAAAGTTTGTCCAAGTAACCATACTTACGTAGAGAACGATATTGATTTGACAGAACAAAACGCTATAATAAAAAATAGTCAAAGAAATACTCCTGGCATCTATCGTAAAATAAAAGAATTTCTATGAGATGGCCATCGTCGTTGTTCAAGGACTCCAATTAATTATTTAAGTAATGTGCGCGACCTAGAGCCATACCTTTGAGTTGGCATAGAATTGTATAAATGAAACTTGTTGCTCACGTGTGTATTTTTTTGATTAGAATGTTCATTTCGTTTTGCAAGTCTCTCCATGTTGCAGTTGATATTAACGTCACAATTGGTACAGCGCCACAACTTGAATGTATGATAGTTTCATGAGCTATGAAACATTCAATTCGTTTTATGTGTGAAAATATGAATACTTTTATTTAATTATTATTATTATTTAAATACTCGTATCTTTTGATATGGGGTAAAAGTCAGACACAATACAATTAAGTATAATGAAAAGAAAAAAAAAGGAAGAATTTTCCAGGTTTGAAAATATAAGTAAGGATAGTCTTGGCAATATTTTATTCCCTATTTGCTGGTATAGACATAAATGACGTTTGTTTCTTCACAATTATGCAATAACTGTTTTATGCAATGATATGCATTTAACCAAGCGCGTCCATTGTTCCTTGATGAAACCTACATGTTAAAAAAAATAACGTTGATTTCTCGTTATCAATTTTTTTTGTTATTTGTACTTGATATCTTCTTGTATTGCATGCATTCAATTTTAGTTTTCTAGTTTCAAACTGGATTCATAGTCTCTATCTTAACAAGGAAGTTTACTGAAGTTCTGCGAGTAGTCTTTCCTTGTCCAAACAAGGATACGCCAGAGTGTGGGTTCTAGTCTTCTCTTCACCAACGCTCACATTCGTACTCATACCCTTGTACATCAATGATTTCATCAATATCAAACTGAATGATCAATTACTTGAATGCGTCATAAAAAGTTTGTCATTGTATTACACGTGCGACAAATTTGAGTATGTGTGACAATTATTGGAGGAAAGATTGTTAGTAATATCAAAGACAATAGTGATCTATGCATAATATGAGACATTCAAGGGTGAACAACAACTGAAAACAGCATTGGAAAGCTATTGATCACAAAGGAATGCTTCGATATATATTCATAAAAGAAGATAGATTTGGAGCACAGACACAGGAACCATTTGAAGATGAATGATATGCTGCCATCGAAAGTGTTTCGTAGGAGGCATTTTTACTTGACTGGTCATTAGATTTTGAATTGGTACAAATTTATTAGGAATTAAAACAATCAATGAAACTCTCAAGCGTACAAGCAATATTTCTTCTGATTTTTCTCTCTATTTATCTGATACATTTACTCGATATATTTACGCGCAGATGTCCTCTTGGAACCAACATAATTACATCAAACTGTGGACATTCACTAAATGTGTTTTCATCTCACAGTTATCATCGATTCATGTTGAATTCTGTTGTTGAGGTTAATCGAGTAAGCGAACCAGGCAAGAGAAAGAGAAAACAGACGATGAATGAGAGATTCAAATTGAACGAATATCTAAGCAGTTGAATCACTTGATGAATAGAAATTAGCGATCCATGTGTCGAGCTCGTTCATATTGTAGCAGAAGCTTTCCGGATCAGGTTCTGCTTTAACAACTAATTTACCCTGGTAAATAACATAGTAACGAAAAGGCCAAGATCCGTAAGTGCTATGAAAAGTGTTCTCCATATTGTCGACAAGCATAGGCATTTCGAAATTGAACTTCTTTTTGCTTTGACGAGCATTCTCAAGTCGTTGTTCGAGTGTTGTTGGCTGATCTACACACGAAATCGTTTTACCCACAGGCCATTGATCGCGTGCATGTGCCTCGGCAATGTAAATCACCAATAGACCCATTCCTTTGGGCGTGTGCGAGTGAAATAGCGCGCTATAAGCAATAAACAAAGAGTGAATTTATGGATAATAGCTGAAATACATACTTCATTCGCTCAGCCGACGCCCGAAATGGAGGTCAGGTAGTGGAGCCAGCCAATACAATCGTAGGTTGGTTTGTTGAGATATGTGAAAAGAGAGTTGTCGGATGGCCTTCCATATTCAATAAATTAACGTCTCGAACAGTGTCACCACAATTGACAAGACCTTGGGTAACTTTATTGTACTTCACTAGAAATCAATGAACAAGAAAAAATATTATTTCATTGCTCTCCAAAGTTCAAACTTTATCGTTCGATACAGAAGTATTCGTAACTGGAATAGCTTCATTTGCACCGGATCGATTCATTCGAATTATTTCCAATAAAGACTTACCATAAAATGCTTCCTTGACGATAGGATCATCCGGAAAGCGATACAAAGCAGTACGTAATGCATTCACATGGTGATATCCGAAATGTTCAACGACATGTTGCTGAATGAGATCGTGTATCAAACTACAATATTATGGTAGTAGGTATTTAAGAGAAACAAATCAACCATACTCACGTAACACTATCTTCATCTGTATGGTACAAGTCCATGAGCTCTTGAATGGGCTCCGATAATCGGAGACGTGTTTCAAACATAATCATGTTATGTAGTGTCTCGATCGGTGGTAGCTCATCTGAAATCTTCACTTTATCGAAGCCCATTCTACCTGAACTCGGGAAGAACATGCGACACATGCGTCGTGAACGACGAGTGCGGGGTTTAGTTGGAGGTGGCTGTTGTGATAAGGGTGGAGAGGGCATAGGTTGTGCCGATGATCGGCTGTCGGCCATCAGTGGTAGTCCTTCGGCAGCAATAGCCGCCGTTGTCTTCTGTATAATAATAGCTTCGCGTTGTTGTTCAGCATTTGGTAAGTGTTGTTGATGTTTGTCAATGACTCCGTTGGACGGTGTCGTGCTGCTCGACATCTTGTTTACCGTTTTCTCATGACATATGAGGAAGAAATAAAAAATAAGCACTTTTTATACGAGAAAAAGTGAAGAAAAAAGAAACGCAGAATATGTAATTGCACCATCATGTTGTTATATATACACATAATGAAGTTGCTGCGTGTGACAGAGGCAAAAATGATTCATAACTAACGAATACATACTGTAAACTGTAGCGAATCGAACGACAATAATGGCGACATCTTCTTGATTAGTTTTCAACATGTATAGATTGATTCAAAATCCACATCTTCCTCGTAAAAGTTGCAGCACTTTAACGAAATTTAACTTTTTTTCATCCTAGCAATAAGTACATAGTATCCTTTATCATAATGAAAGACTGATCCCGTGAGATTTAATGGGGGGTCCTTTCGTTCTGAAAGTAAGAGTGTGGGTATGGGTATGGTTTCTCTGATCAGCCACACCCACACCCTATAACTGACATTTGTTAGCGTAATGGTATCTGAATATGAAAGATGCTTATGCAGAAAACCATGAGTCGAACGAGTTAAGGCTCAATGCATCCAATTGTGCCGATACACCGGTCTCCACCGTAGGTTTCTATACTCTTACCGGCTGGATCCTCCACCATATACCAAATTTCTAATGAGCATTTGCAAAAAAACACTTTATTAGTACAAGAGATCACTTCTTACTGGAAAGTTAAGTGCGCGAGTTTCTGGGATGTACCACGTATCACAAACACAGAAATACAATAAAAATTGACCGGTGCACCGTCACCATTGTATCCCTAGCCACACACCCATCCACATTCCATACATCCATCTGTACTCACACTCTTACAAATATAAAATTGATAGTTTCCTTCAGGTTACCTAATCATCAAAGAATGGTCCATTTCTTGAGAAAAAAGATCTTCACAAGAACAACTCAAGAAACTTTAAGAATAAAATCAGAATATCATATTCCTATTGAACGTTATCGGAAGAAAACATCCAATTATCTTTGGTTTTTTACTGATTTTGAGCTTTTGACTTCATATTTTGGCTATAGGTAGGCTTGAAAATTGACGAAGAAAATCCTAAAGACGTTCTTATCCATAGGTTGCTCGTTCAAAGTTAAAGTTTGCGGCACGGCATCCACAGCAAAATCAAATGAAGATATTTTGATCTAATATTCTGTCAATAAAAGGATCTAATAATTCTTAGTATACACCAAAATTTTCAATTAAAGCGATTGCTTTCTTCTCAAAATATTCAATTTTCAAAAAACGTCTGAAAATTCAGTAACAAAAACTGGTTCACTCATGAGAAATACGAACTGAAAACAAAAAAGCAGTTGACACGGATTCAACTTCTTCTAAACATATATTTAGTATAGTTAGTCAAAATGCGTTCCATCTTTGTACTTCACAAATGAATGCCATTCGCTTTTTTTTGGCAAATAGATTCCATCACATAGTCCTCTTCCTATTTTTATTTCAAATTCATTATTGAATGGAACTTTCAACCGTATTATTATCGATCATAGACATTATTTTCTCCAGATTATTTCTATATGTGACAACGATTGATTCAGTTGAATTTTTTGCTTGTGCTGCTAATTCTATTGCAGTTTGAAAATAAACTCGTGCATGAGGCCAATCATTCATTTTTACGTAAGTTTCGGCAAGTGCAGCACAAAACTGGGAACGTATTTCATATTCTTCTTCGTTTAGAATACTAAGACTTTCGTGTAAGTGTGTACAAGCTTGTTCATAATTACCAAAATCTCGTTGAATAACCGCAATGTTGTGACGAGTAATTGCAATTTCTTTTCTATGAGCAGCTTGCCGATTCATATAACATTGCCAAGCAGCAGTATAATGTTTTATTGCTAGTAAATTCTATTTCTTTCGATCATAGAGCATACCGAGATTATTGTGTAAAATGGCAGCAAATAGTGAGTTGCTATCGATTTATTCTTCTAAGAGTTGTGTAAAATGCTTTTGACTGATGTCGAAGTAGCCAATGTGTCGAAACGTATCAACGATTGTCATATACAAGTCTTTATTGAGTTCTGTGCGTGGCAATTGTTGAATGCTATCAAGTGTCAATCTATAATACTCAACTGATCGTTCACCATTTCCGTTATGAAAGTAGAGCTTTCCGAGATTATTCGCATATACAGCAACCTTATACAGATCTGGCTGCATGCGGACTTTATATAGTTCAATGATTTTATGATGGAGACGAATCGATATGTCATTTATTCTGTTTTTCTTTGAAATGGAACATAGACTGACATAAATGTCTTCACGTAGTTTATGATCAGGTACTAATACCGATTGATCAATTATTTGTTCTGCTTTCAAATAGTAGTCGATAGCTTCAAAGTCTCGATCTTGATAATCATACAATACTCCAATACTTACGTATGTCACAGCTAATTGTGGATGATTTTTAGGCAATACACCTAAAAAAGTTTCAAGAGATTTGTGTATGTGACCGAGTGTTAGTGAAATATTCTGCATTGCATAATACAAAAGTCCCATATTCATGTAAGTCATAGCGATCGATGGATGACTAGTTGGAAGTACTAGATCTTCTATTTTTAGTACTTTCTGATATAATTTAAAGGATGTCATCAGTTTACCTTGCCGTTGAAAAATAGTTGCCATACCATTATAGATTGTACTGAACAACTCACTACGTGCATCAAATACCATTCCAATATTACTGTGTACAATAGCAAACCATTCATCATGAAATCCGACCGGTTCTATTAATTCATTGATAGCTTTCTTATAATATTTCATAGTTTCATTCAAATAGCCTTGTTGTCGATAGATTTCGCCGAGATTATTGTAAATAACTCCTAGATCTATATGATCTGATGGTAGTTCGACTAGTAAACGCTGATAGAAACGTTTGGCTCATTCGAAATCGCCAATTTTCGATAGAAGAACACCAAGATCAAGAATTGACGGCTGTTGACCAATAAGCCGTGTAAAATACGTTAACAAGTCCTCTACTTCTTTCTTAACTTCACTACTTAAAGTCAATTTTATTAACCAAATGTGATCTGTAAATAATTCTACTTATTTAATACGAAAGACAGAACCCATGGCAAAGAGAATTTCATTTTCCTCTTAATTATCGCTGAAGTTATTGATTTGTGCAAATAGACGTCTTTTCACGTTAAGATCAATGTCAATTTCAAAGACAACAGATCCAATACCCATAGACTGATGTTCACCATTGTCAGAAAAATCGACTGCAACTGAACATGATGTTGATATTGAGAAAAATGTATTAATTGATATAAGACGACCTTGATTAATCTTCAATTTTTCCAATTTTTGTGCGTTTATTTGTTGACCACAATAAACAGTTAGTTTGCCTGTTTTTTTACCAAATTGATCTTGATAAAGTGTAGTCAATTGTTTAAATAAATCAGTTAGAAAATAATGATAATTAAAAATTGTATCAATATTTTGTGTACCAATTAACCCTTAAAAGTCCAAAGGCCTAATCGCCACAAATTGAAAAAACTAACCACTCAACTAGAACTTCTAAGACCCCAATAAGAATTATTTATAGTAAAAAAGAAAAAAAAAATTTTTCTTACGGAGATATAGAATGTCCCTTGGAAGGGACATCGGGTCTTAACGGTCCAAATCTTTCACTGTTCTTAGTTTATGTGAAAAGAGTTTTTTTCCACCGAATACTTCTCTTCATGTATTTTTTTGATACACGAAGAATCAATTGAAGCAATATTTCGCAGTTTTTCAACATTTACGCACTTTCTGTTTCATTATTATGCTTGCCCATGGGGTCATCCAAGTATCGACGAGTCAATATTAGCTATGAGAAAACGATCATTTTATACTTGCGCTAGTGGTTTTACTTCACCGACGAAGTAGTTATTGAATGCTCTACGAGAGTAGAACCAGAACTACCGTGACGGATTCAGAATTAAAGCGAGGCTGGTATCTCCACCACAAATGAAGAGAATTTAAGGATCATCGAAAATTTCCGACAATTGGAGGGAGTAAGTGTCCTCTCCCTTGGTTCCCCGCTCATGACAGGCCTTATTAAGACCAAAAACAACCAAAAAATCGCTCGAATATTACTTTCACAATTCTTAGACTGTTCGGATATTTTGGCCCGTCATGACCCAATGTCCCTTCCAAGGGACATTTCCTTTAAGACGTCACAATGCATCACTAGACCAATGAAAACATTGTGAGATAGTTTTCTACGATAGTCTAACGATGTACCTCGCGATGCCGCTTAAAAAAAACAGACTTTCTTCTCGTATTCAGCAATAAAAAGATGTTTCAAAATGAAAATTTGACACTTACAAAATCACAAGCCTAAAAAAAACATATTGTTTCTTCGGACAGTTACGCAGAATTTCTTTTTCTCTTTTAATATGAGCCACAAGATCATTTAAGTCGAAGAAAACAAAGAATATTGTATACAGAGTATTATTGCATGTTTTATTGAAATTTTCGCAATGTCCCTTCCAAGGGACATTGGGCTCTTAAGGGTTAATAGTTGAATTTGCCGTGTATTTCTCGTAGAATTCTTCTATCATACGTAATTGAGATGGGTTATCTACATCATTTTCACGACATTCTTCAATCATTTGTTGTTGTGCTGTCAATGTTTGTGGAAAACGATAAATAACTTCAATCAATAGCTGAAAGCATAGAGAGCTCACTTGTTCTTCATCGATATCTTGTAGAGGACGTTCGCTTGTATTACTGATACTAATTGCTATCAAAGTTTTCGAATACATTTTAACATCACTTTTCAAGCAAGCCATTAGAGAATTTTCGTCAATAAAAATTCCACGAATCTTTGTAAACGGTTTCGATCAAGTTTTATGTCGTGCTTTATCCGCACAGAATATATAGATTTGAAATACTTGTGATAAATTGTGCACAAGCGGAATAACCTTCTCTCCCAACGATCCAGATACAACAAGGAAGATGTGTTCATCGACATTTTTTCGGATATATTCGACGCATTCATATTGATCTATGAAAGTTTGAATACAATTCAAAGAAATTTGTAACGAAGATTGACGTTTGAACAATGTATTATGATCGCTGTTGATTGTTGCATCAAGCTGAATAATAATAAAATCTTCGATTTGAAGTGCTGAATCACTTTTATCTGATGATGTTGTTGTTGTCATTCAGTACTCACAATATCTACGTAATACCACACCTCGTTTAATACAAATTATTGAAAATGAGTACTGAATTACATACAAGTGAAAGTGACTATTTTCTCTTTTACACCCTTACCCCACAGATCGTGACAGACATAATGGTATGCTGCTTCTTTAGCGTTGGGTGTGGATGACGAGACGATCTATATCTACAAACATATCTAGAGTCACACGCAGATCTACATCTACCTACATCCCACGCTCTAGTAGCTACATATAACGATAGATAATTCTTCTGATTCATAATACGACGTGTCTTGAAAATAGGGGGATGAAGATTCTACTAGTGATATGTTTGATACATAGTAACATCCTCTCACGTATGTTCTGTCGAGAAAAAGATTTATTCTATTACAAGCTTCTAAGCCTCTATGCTCGAGAAAAATAGAGCATCGACTTTTTTAAAATTCAGTTTAAAATGAAGAATACCATAGACTCTGTTGTTTTGTATTTACGTATCAATATATTTTTCATGTGCGTATAGATAGAAAAGAAAAAGAACTGCTCTACCGTCGGCGAAGAAAAATATAGTTTTTTTTCTTTTTCATTAAATAACTATTATTCATGTTAAATAGACATAAAGTAGGAAAATGAAGGAAGAAAAATAGTAAAACTCAGTGTCTTAGTCACTTTCTTCCTAGCAATTAGTAACTTGGTTTTTAATTATACGGAATATATTGGTAGCAAGCATAATTAACATCATTTTTGCTCATGATGTGTACGATACACAAATGATACATATACAGGTGAGAGAGGAGTAGGCCAGAGCATTTGTATCAAGTATCGACAAGTTACATTTTATTCGGCATTAGTTACTAAAAAACCTAATCAGAAATCGGAAGTAGGGAATTCTTGCATACAGTATTTTATGTTGCAAACAAACGTATTGCATATTTACACTCAGTGGATATTTAGGGATGTGGGTGTCGGCATGAAATATGAATGCATTTGGATGTGGTTGTTAGTATTATGTTTATTCACACTCCAAAACTAAAAACAATAATATAATGAATCTGTATTTTCAAGGAAATCACCAACGTTGATCAAAAAACAAGGAATGAGCCCAATAAAAAAATATATAGTTCTGTAGAATAATTCATACTCTATCAAATGATATCACAATAAGAAATATCCTAGGTTTCGTATATAAATAAGACAAAGTGATGGAAACTATAAAGAATAATGTAATCAACCTATATGTCAACATTTTGATTTTAGGATTACAATACAAAATAAATAGAACATATGTGAACACAATGAAAGACTGAAATAGTACATTTCATATGTACAATGCTTCGATACAAAGCCAATATTCAATAATTTCGGATAAATAGTTGTCAATTATTTATACATTACAAGTCACCTTTGTCATTTTATTATTATTGAACGTTATCTAGGTGAAAGGAAATTCATTATCGCGTGTCAATAATAGTCATCACACAAAGAAGAACGGAAGACAACGGCATGAGAATGTCAACTATGATTGATCTTCATTATAGGATATATAGGAAGTTTAGATCGCATTGGGTCCCAGAATATATTCCTTAATGATGTTCTGTCTCATTATGGGAAAAATTCTATTTCTCTTGTAATTAAAAATAGTTATTTTCTAAAGTAGTAACAAGATGTTTTTCCTAAAAAGAAAATCTGGTTCGTCAGCACTTAGTCGCTCATAACGTCTTTTTGAATATGCCAAAACTTTTTTGAAAAACCGTTGATTTTTGAAATAACCACAGCAGAAAACTAGTCTGCAATAAAAACTAACTTTGAAAGAGCGATGTGAGTTTTCATAGTACAAGAGCATGACTTTTTATTCTGAAGCGTAGAGTTACGCTCAGCATCATATCATGTGTTACTGAAATTTAAAATTGCATTGCAACATAAAGTATAGAATTTGACAAAAAAAGGAGCATTTCCAGATAAATTTTTTAAAAAGCAGACTTTAATCTTCTGTAGAATAAAAACAGCTAAAATGTTGACATAATTCATAACACGTGATATCTCGGTATCTATTTCGCAGATACCATCATCAGACGAAAAATCACCAACATAAACTATTCATACATCTATATCAGATTAATTACAACCTAATATAGAAATAGATACCGAAATATCACGTGTTATGAATTATGGGTGGGTGTGGGTGTGGGTGATCATGTTGGTATCTGTGAATAATACACCGAAATCCACATTCATCCACACCATCAGAGTATATCATTCTCATACTTTGAAAAACACATCTATGACAAATATTGGGATCTATCCGATATCTCAAGCTTACATATGAGGTATAATTATTCTTATATAAACATAATTGATGATTTATAGTATGCCTTATGAGGTTTATCGTTTACATGTATTAGTTACTTTAAAATTTATGAATCAAATAATAAGAGTGTGGGTGTGAGTGCGTGAAGAGAGGATCCATACACATACCCCACATTATTGCCAACATTAAATATACAAACAATACGTTTTTTAACTTCATCATTATAATATTTCAATTGATTTTTTTTATGAAATTTTCATCTATAAGACCTAGCTTATTATTAGGAATACGTATAATCTGAAGATAATTATCATGATTTTATAGAAAAAAGATTATAGAAGAAATTTACTAATTTAAATAACAATTCTACGTCGAACTTCTTCATCTTTCAAATGTAAAATGTTGATAAGTTTAGTGATCAAGTAAAAATAACAAGATCATTATCGGTTGCATTCACATATCGTTTTATTATTGCTTGTAATTCTTTATGAAATTTCGCAATTTTTGATGCATGGAAGGTCCGGTGTTGTTCATCAAGCAGTGCTCGAAAAATATTAGACAACGTTCAGGTGTTGTATAATTAGCATAAATAACTATAGAAGAAAAATTTATTTCGTTATCATAATGAGAATAGAAGTAAACGTACTTTTTCGAGATACCTATGAAATATGAACACGAAGATTTTCATTGATAATATCTGACTTAATATATTAAAGAAATTGTTTTTCATCTATGTAATGTACATCAGGGTGTGGATGTTGGAAGACCAAAAAACCCACACCCACACTCTATTTACTGTCATGATTTTATTTTCTTTTAGAAAAAATAATCGACACTCGTTTCGAAGATTTATCAAATGAAATTTTTCTATGAAATATTTGAATATCTCGATTTTTATCATGTCTATGAAACTTTTTCAAATCTTAATAAACGATTTGAAACTCTTATTGTTGAATTCAAAACTTCCTATTAATATCAATATTTCATCTATATCAAAAACAAATTTTCAACATTATTATACATAGATATTATCATACCTTATCTATGTCGAGTGAAATCAATTTGTATAACAAATCTATTCGCCATTAATATCATTTTGTCATCACGAAATATTGTTTCAAAATTTACTCGACTTGAAACACTGATTCTTGATAATGTTGAATCTTTAGATCTTCGTAATCTTGAGTAATTAAATACTCTGCCAAGACTATCTTCATTAGTCATTATTAGTGATGGTTGTATTAAGGATCAAGCTGTAATTTATTATCAAATATTTCAATTACCAGTTTTAAGATACTGTAAGGTGTTACTAGGAATACATTATATGTCTATAAAATCTTTATTACCATTTGCTACCAATAAATATAGTTCTATCGAACATCTCGTAATCAAAAATAATCTTTATCTTGATACACTTTATGCTATTTTATTGTATGTACCCGAACTTCGTCGTTTATCGATTCCTGTTTTATTTGAATCTGTCAATAGACAAAGAATTAAGTTTCCAATTGCGTTGAACTATTTAACATATATATCTCTTCGATTAGGTTAATAAATTTTGATGCTTTCGAACGATTGGTCAATGGATATTTTTGTAATCTTCAAATCTTACGTCTTTCTACAAGTCATGATATAAGATATTTAGATGCTGAGTGATGGCAAAATTTGATATTGTCTCATATGCCAAAATTAAATATTTTTGACTTTCGATATAACTCTTATGCACATTCTGATGAAAATATTACATCTATTTATGATTTTCTGATTAAGAAATTTACTTCATCATTTTGAATTGAACGACAATATTTTTTTTTCTATTCAATATCCTTGTAGATCAAATCAAGATGATACCATTTTCTATTCAACAAAACTATATAAGTAAAATAAATAAATTTATTCATTATAAGTTATCTTTCATATTTTTACTTTTAGAAGAAAAATTTTATATTAGAAAGGATAATCAAAGAAAAAATAAACTGTGATGCTGTTTATCATATTAATATAAAAAATCTACGAGAAATGACAAATTGCATGAACTATTTTCCAAATATTACTAAACTACCTTTGTCTTGTAATCTAAATTCAATTTATGATTCAATCGGAAGCAGTTTAATACGTACTCTTCCCTTAAAACAGATTACAAAGTTTGTTATTGATTATGATACTTCTTCCATCATGCAATTGGTTCATTTAATAGATTTTACAGTGAATATTCATACATTAAAACTTGCATTACAATCTTTTCAGTTAGTATCTACGATGAATTCTGTTAGAAAATCTAATTTTGGAAGAAGAATGTTCATTGGAAAAAATTGAATTGTTAATGGATTCACTTTCTCTTTGTAATTTATAAAACGATTAATTTTGTCAAAAGATGATAATAATAAGAATCGTTATTCATCTTCTTTGTGCATTTTCGAAATGATCGATGATATGGAAGATACATTGGAAATGGTGATTAAAAAAGAGAAATTACTTGATAATTTTGCGATAAAATATGTTACTCGTAAAGTGTTTTTATGGTGGTCAAATTCATTCTAATAAAATATTTTATTCATGAATATTACTTATATTTCAATAGACAATCAATCTATCTCTTGATTATAAAAATATTTTCAACTAACTTTTTCTGCATACTGAAAAAACAGTTTTCTGTTGTGTATATTCGACATCACCAAACATTTATTTTTGATTTGAATGAATGAATTTCTTGAGTCGATCATCAATGATTTTGTGAAACAATGCCTGCTTTGATCGATCAAGATAGTTAGTAACATGTTGGACTATCTTTGATGTTTCTTCCTTCGATTCATAGTATGAACATGATTCTAGAAGAACATACGATATAGACTTGTGATTTGTGTTTTGCTTTCTCTCTCTCATTCAAGCATATCGGTCATATCTGGTATTGTGTGCCACTTTCCAAATATATTTGCCATAAAATGTAAACTGATATCAATACAGAACTGTCGATCGAGTAAAATGAGACGAGATTGAAAAGCTTTTGTTCTTCGAAAGTCACAAGTTTAGATAATCAGATTGAATACGTACAATTTACCTACTCTTTCAAGATCAATTTGTTTGGATATGCACATTAATAAAAGATCTATTAATAAAACTTATTCAAAATATACCTAATTTAGATTGTTTCAATGTTAATTTGAGGTCTAATTTAATCGATGGTCATCAATGGAAACGGATTATTTGTAACTATTTGTCGAAAGTAAAAATATTTAACCTTAATATGAATGGTACATTGATCTTTAGCCTGAAATTTGATTCATTTCAAAGTTCATTTTCGATTGATGAACATAAATGGTCCGTCGAATGTCTTACAAGGGACTAGGGATGTACCGAGACTGAGAACTCCTTAATCAAGATCGAAATTTTTCTTCAGTAAAAACTCTCGCGATTCTACGAGATTTTTATTGAGAATTGCTTAGCTTGATTTCATCTTGTAGGAAATACCACAGAATAGACGGGTCATGAAAGTAAAAGGCCAAGTCTTAGCTAGTGTCGGTCAAAATTTTGCTTTTTTAATTTATTCGACCAAGACTTGGTCTTTTACTTTCATGACCCGTCTATCCAGTTGTATTTCCTACAAGATGGAATCAAACTAAGCAATTCTCAATAAAAACCTCGTACAGACTCGGGGGTTCTTGCTAAAGAAAAATTCCGATCTTGGTTAGAGAGTCTTCAGTCTCGGTACATCCCTACGAGGAACAAACTCAAATGATACTCGACACGAATTTTTTGACCGACCAATTCTATCCTATATTCATTTATTGAACATTAGATTCTTGTAGATAAAAGTTCTTATCAATAAATAGTTTTGGTTCATTGGTCGATATGCATCATTACCGTTACAAATGTCATTAGTCAAGTATACAAATGCATCAGTTTGTTGACTCAATTTGAAAAATTATAATCATCAATTCAATGAAGAGATGTGAAGTACTTACTATTCAAGTCAAAAGTTGTAAGAGTATTATTATTCTTGTGAAAAAATATGATCAATTTTCGAGCATTCTATACCCAATGTGAAAATGAAAATGATTGTGATGGTTTTATCATTAATAATGAACGATGATACTTCTTTTTATTTTGACAAGTCAACACAAATTTTTAATTTAAGGATAA